CGGTAGAACGCTCAAACGAACTATGACAAAAAGTATAAATTTACATTGTTTAAATGGGAGAATTCGCAACTCTACCACGTAATATAAAAAAACCTGGGCCATATTTTGAAAATCCGAAAAGAGTTGGCTTATCTAGAGACAATTGCCCGTCGATAGCCGCAAAAATCATGAAAATCGGCCCGGTAGAACGCTGGAACTAAGCGTTACCAGTTTCGCAAAATTAGGAGGTCTCGGAGCTTATAGTATAGAAGATAAGGCCAAAAAAATGTATGTGTCCTCATTTTTTATTAAACCGCTAAAATATAAACAAAAATTGGAAATTTAGGATTTTAACGATTTTTTTTAGGGATATAATATGGTAAGATATATTTGATTTTTTTACCCAAGAATCTAATTGTTTTGATGTACAGGGTGTTTCAGACCACCCGTACCAGGCCTTTTTCTCGGTTGTTTTAGGTCGCACGAAGTCGGGGACCGCGGGGTTGAATAGGGAATTGACCCCAAGGAATCCGAATTTCGTAGTCCCGAAACCCCCCCCACCCCCCCTTAGGGGGTAAAAGGGGGTCACGATGCTAAAAGCCACGGTTCCCGACCAAATTGCGGATAGATCGCATCAGAATTGAAAAGCCCGCAAAATTTCACGTGAAATTGACCCCTAAAAATCCATAATTGGCCCATCCAAGGCCCAAAAATGATCCCCTAAAGAGGGGGACAGTACCCCCCTCCATAATTTCTCTTTGGTCTCAAAATTGACGTAGATTCTCCAGAAAAAGATGGTTTCCCAGGTAAGCGGCCCCGAGAAATCCAAATTTCGTGGTCCCAAAGCTCCTCTGGCACCCCTTGCGGGGTAAACGGGGGGCCCAATTTTAAAAATCGGGGCTCCTTTCCGAATCGCAAATTGAATGCATCCAAATTGAGGATCAGAACACTTTTACATCTTAAGTGACCCCCAAGAGTTTTAATTGACCCCCCTGAACTGCAGAAAGTAACCTCTGAGGAGGGGGGCTTCGTCCCTTCCCAAAATTTTTCAAGATTCCTCTTTGGTCGCAAAATTGACGTCAATTCTCCAGAAAAAGACGGTCTCTGCCCTAAAGGGCGGGTAGCGGAGCTTAGGGACCATGAAATTCAGAGTCCTCAGGGTCGATAACCTGGAAAACCGTCTTTTTCTGGAGAATCGACGTCAATTTTGCGACCAAAGAGGAATCTTGTAAAATTCTTGAAGGATTTTTAGGGGTCAATTTCACGTGAAATTTTCCGTGCTTTTCAATTCTGATGCGATTAATCCGCAAGTCGGTCGGGAACCGTGACTTTTAGCATCGTGACCCCTCCTTTACCTCCCAAGGGGGGGTGAGGGGGTTTTGAGACTACGAAATTCGGATTCCTTGGGGTCAATTCCCTATTCAACCCCGCGGTCCCCGACTTCGTACGACCTAAAACAACCGAGAAAAAGGCCTGGTACGGGTGGTCTGAAACACCCTGTACATTTGGTGAAATTTTGGTGCATTTTCATCGAAAAACGCGGGAGATATGAAATAAAACGTGAATATACGCCAATATTCCCCGAAAATCGGGTTTTTCGTGGTTGGAGGGGGGGGGGGTTGTTGGGGTCAGGAAGTAAAAATTGCCCAAATTCATGTTTTTATGGACCTCCTGAAAGAGTTTAGACCATTAAATTCAAAATCCGTGAGGAGGGGCATTTTGGTGCCCTTACGCAGGGATACCCTTTTAAATAGGAATGGTTTGTTTTGACTTTGGATTTGAATTCTACCAGCCACAGGGCTCCGCAAGTAGAACTCCTCTTACTACCGCTCTGATTACATTCGAGAAAGTTCCAGAAATAAATGCCACTCGTCTTCTTGCAACACTCCTCTAAAATTCCAAGAATATTCGAGAAAGCTCCCGAAAGGACACGGCAATGGCATCAATTTAATTGCACATCGCCTGGAGAAAATTTAAGAGAATTCGAAAAAATTCGAGAAAAGCTATTGTCAGTCATGATACCTTACGAAAGTCTGAGAAAATACTACAAAGTTCCGGAGAGAATTAATGAGGGGCATCGTTTTACTATCGGTCACCTGAAGGATGAAAATTCGATAGAGTTCTAGAAAGTTCCAGACAGTTACTACTTGTTGCCATGTGACGCCCTCCTTGTGTCTAGGAACATTCTAGAAAGTTTTACAAGGACGATGGAGGAGCCAGGGAGCCTCCCCAGTACCGACTGCAGTGCTTGCAGAAACTGAAGGGAGGGATGGAAAGGAACCACTGGCAGCGGCTGCGTAGTGTTCTAGAAGCCGATGAACGTGGCGCGACACGGGGTGCGGGGACTTGCCCTTCAACCGGTGGAGGACGGGCGTCGCGGCGCCGAGAGGAGGAGGGAGGCAACCTCTGCGGTGAGCAGTCGGTGAGCCGCGCGTCGCGCGGGGGGGGGGAGGAATTCCTGGCACGAATTTTTTGCGAATTTTAGGCGCGCTTAGAGCTGTATTATGATGATGGTGGCCAAAAATAAGAACTTTTTATTCTATGCTTTTTTCCCTTAGACCCCTATTTTCTTGGAGTTAAGGGGCATTTTGGGTCATTTTTTGGGCAAATTTCAATTAGACACTGTAGGCGTTAAAATTATCCGATTTTAAAGATCTTAAAGTCTTCTGAGAGAAGAGGTACCTTTTTATGGATGTGCCACATGACCCCTGTCGATCCAATATTATGGGGGCCATAAACCCCTAAAGATTTTGGGGCTTTGGAGGGCCTTAAGTCAAAAATTTCAAATGGCAAGGGTATGATTTGACTTCAGATTTGGATTCTACGCGAAAAGTTATGTAGCAGAGATGTGGCGCACGGCCTGTTTACTCCAAATTATTTTATAACCCCATTTCCACATATGAAAACGTGTTATCTTGGAGGGATAAACGGGCAAAAAAAAATTTGGAGCAAATAGTAACTTGGAGTGAAAAGGCTGAACGTGGATTTCGGCCTTAATGTGAAGCTGAACCAGTGAAGAAAGCAACTCTAGATATTTCAATTGCTTGGTAAAATTGTGCTGATGCACCAGTATTATTTTGGAGGAACTCTACGTTTGACTGCTTCATCAAATTATGTAAGATACTAGGAGTAGCATCTCAAATCAGAATGTAAGTGAAAAATTCGCATTTAAGGTAAAATAGCGTTCAAAGATTTGGTATTTTTTAAATGATGCCCACTAAGAATCACAGGACTCGAAAATTTTAGATTTTTCACAATAGTAAAATATCCCTATTCACTTCAATTTAAAGTATCCATCTCATAAAACTGCATTTCTGTCTTTTTTTTTAAAAAAAGCAATTGGCAAAAGTAACATTCAACATGAAATGCGGAAAATCAACACTTTTAACAGGAAAATATGTTTTTAAAGGCGGCGTAGTTCAATTAAGCAGAGAGAAAATTTGTTCCTTTCGTTTCAAAACTAGTATTAAGAGAAAATTGAAAAAATATCTGGCCATCCATATTTACTGCATGCATGGAGTGAGAGAAAGCCCTTGCACTTAGAGTTCTCATGGGTTGAGATGAATGTTGCTTTTTTAGAATTTTGATAGCTTTCATGCGAAGACGCTTCAAGGATAGTGGAGTGAATCGATTTCAAGGGAAAAGTTCATCGCATGAAAGGAAAGTATATGTGTCACGGGCAACGTCCGGGTCTCGGGCACCGTCGTCAATGCCCGGTCACTGACGGCGGTGCCCAACTCGCCTGGGCATCGTCGTCAATGCCCGGACATTGACGACCCGGACATTGACGACGGTGCCCGAGAAGTGCTTTAAACGGTCGGGCAAAGATTGGGATCGAGAGAGTAAGGCAACCATGCCCGGGCACTGACAACGATGCCCAAGGGTTATCGGGCACCGTCAAAATGAAAAAAAAAGTGAGATGAAAATAATGATCACCTATTTGTTAGTGCAGGATTGGGAGTTATGACAGCGTGAATTGCACAGCACATTTCGCGCTCGACATGAAATCCGTTTTGTTGTGCATTTTTGGCGGCAGTCACATTTCTTTCTGCATCCCTTGCCCACCGGATACGGATGCAGAAGATACGATTTGACGCAAACTTTTCTCCGTGCTAGGTACAGACTCAAATGGTACGAGGTCAGATGAGCACGGCGTGAACTGGGACCTAGTGTACAAATAGCAGATGACGCCTTCCGTTGTTCCTATCTTACAAAATCCGTCCTTTTCCTCCAATAGCACTGCCGTAACATTTCGGGAGTCGGTGCGGGAACGATCTACAGCAGGAATGAGCACAAGGACTGTTTTCCCTACGGCAACAGGACTGAATTTGGCATCAGATTGCTTTTTCATTTTATTGGCCTGAACCTCAAGGTTTTGTAGAGCAACACGCCTTTTTCTAAGTATGTTGTTGACGGATGGTTCAGAAGTAGGAGCTGTTTCAGAAGTAGGAGCTGTTTCAGAAGTAGGAGTTGCTTCAGAAGCTGGTTCAGCATCAAGCAAACGCTCCAGATCCTCCTCTGTTTCGACCCGATGTTACATGTTAGTTTCGATAAGATAATCGGTAACCACGACTCACGAGTCGGTCTCCTCAATCAGTGACAAGTTCGATCACCTACCGTGGCCCGTTGCCCGCGGCAACGTTGCCCAATGGTGCGCGGGCATCGTTGCCGCTGCCCGCCAAGGACGGTCAACGCCCGGGCATTAGTGCCTCATTTACAGTGTGGAAGACGATGCCCAAATCGCGCGGGCACCGTCGTCAATGCCCGGTCAATGACGACGGTGCCCACGCCACTTGGGCATCTTCGTCAATGCCCGGGCAAAGACTGACTTTGCCCGAGACCTGGACGTTGCCCGTAACATGTGCCTCCCTTGAATGTGACCCACGAAATGAATATGCGAATATCGATGCAGCGAGTTGGCTGTAAGCAAATATACTCATGATATTGTAAGCTTTTGTATTCTTTGAAAGGGCTGGCTGGAATAATTATCAATCCTAATGGTTAAATTAATTTTGTTTCAGTAAAACAGTTGCAGATTTGAAGTTACGTTTTCCAGGTTTGCAAGACGCTATGAAGTCTTTTCTCAGTCAAGAAATGGACAAAATAGTTCGTGAGGAAACGTAAGTTTTACTTTTCAGTCATGTGGCGAGCCGTAGAAGCCCTACGTTTGGCTAAGGCCAGAAAAATTTAACCATTTTCGACCAGGTCCACTAAATAAATGTCATTATGAAACAGATTTGTGGCCATCAAAATAATGAGGCAGGTGTTGTAAGCATTAATCCTAAGAAAGAAGTGACTTTTGAATCAATGAACTGTGATTCATGTGTGCATAAAAGGTGCCTTTTGGCTTACTTCGCCGAATAAAATTCACCTACTTTTAGCTTGAGTCATCTTTCTTCTCTTTATCAAGTGCGGCTTGTAAGGTACCTTGTGTGGCGCTGTTATACCACCTACTGGAATGATGATCCAGATCAGTCCTAATTTTCGTCTGGGTTGATCACACGCGTTTTAATGTAGTGGTTTTTTTAGCCTTGATTTTAATTTTTTATTTGTGTTTAGCAGTTGATAAAGGCTCGGGTGACCAGCCGAAACGTCCTGCATATTGTGTTTATTATTTTTAGCCTTGTTTCCCACTGATTTTTGTGTGTCTTTTTGTCATACATACATACATACATACATACATACATACGCACCTACGTACATATATACATATATACATATGTACATACGTACACACATACATACGTACATAAAAAACACTGAAAATTGGCCGAAAAGTGTATGTAACACGGTGGAGAAATGGTGCTTGGTCCACACCATTTTGCAGCACGGTGCTCCTGAAAAGGTTTTAACTCGAAGTTGGCCCTGACATAAAAATTTGAGCTGGAATGTCAAGAGGAGTGCTACCAGATACTAAAAACCACAATTTCAAAATCGGTTGTTGGAGCCTCTGGAGAAATGATCGCGAATTTATGGTTTTTTTAGGCTTTTTTCGGCAAATAGGCTCACGTAGGGCAACTAAATTCCCCCTTGCCTCATTTCTTCTTGGATTGATCTGAATTTTTAGTATGTTATTCTCTGGTATAAAGTACGACTTTCCTGAAATTTTCATGACCGAGAAATTTGTTTTGCTCCCGTTGCAATGTTGCAAAGTTTCAAACTTCAAAATTATGGATTTTGCAAAAAAAATTGTGACACTGGCCCCTTGCTTCTTGGATCGGTCTGAATTTTTAGTATGTTACTCTACGATATGAGGTTAAAATTTCCTGAAATTTTCATTGCCGGAAAATATTTTGTCCTCTCGTTGCAACGTTGCCAAGTTTTCGACTTGAAAATTTTGGGTTTGGAGGTAACACGATGGCATTGGCCCATGTCTTGATGAATTGATCTGAATTTTTAGTATGTTATTCTTCCGTATAAGCAACGAATTCCCTGAAGTTTTCATGACTAGATCATCTTTTTTACTCCCGTTTCGACGTTGCCAAGTTTCGAACTTCAAAATTGTGGATTTGACCATAAAATGATGGCGTTTGGGCAGGATGCCTTGCAAAACTTTTTTTATTAATGGGTATTTCACGAAGTTTTTCGATAAGGAGGGGTTGCGATTTGGGCCGAAATCGGCCCCTCCACGGAATTTAATAATTTTTGGATATTTGGCAGTTCACGGTGCATATTTGACGGAAATAATCGAGTTTTGCCGATACTCCCGTTTTTTGGCTGCGAAACAGGGGCCTCAACATGGTTCCGGAGCCGAAAATAGCTGAAATTTCGCGTTTTTCGTGGTTCTACCTCAGATTTCGACCTGGGCCTAAAGGCGACGGGTGATGAGCTTCGAATATGGTGTCTGGGACACCTAGACACGTAACATACTTGAATATGATCAACCGTCACCTCTAAGGCCCAACTTCAAAATCGATTTTTTCCCACTTTTTTAGCCCAAAATAGCTGAAAATCCGTGTTTTCCGCGGTTCTACCTCAGATTTTGACCTGGGCCAAAAGGCGACGGGTGATGAGGTTGGAATATGGTGTCTGGGACACGTAGACACGTAACATACTAGAATATGATCAACCGTCGCCTCCCGGCCTAACTTCAAAATCGAACTTTTTAAACTTTTTAGCCCGCAATAGCATACCTGAAAATCCGTGTTTTCCGCGGTTCTACCTCAGATTTCGACCTGGGCCCAAAGGCGACGGGTGATGATCTTCGAATATGGTGACTGGGACACCTAGACACGTAACATACTAGAACATGATCAACCGTCGCCTTTGGGCCCAACTTCAAAATCGAACTTTTCCAACATTTTAGCCGTAAATAGTTGAAAATTCCTGTTTGTCCAACGTTCTATTCAGGTTCCCTACTGAACGCAAAACTTGCCTTCGAATATAGAGAACGGATTTATATAGTCTTCCTATATTGACCGTCACCAGTCACTTGAATGACTATTAAAACTGAGTTTCGTATTATTTCACGTATAGGTTAACTTGTCAACTCCAGATTCCTTGATTGCTTGCTTGAGCTCTCCAGTGCTTGGTAATGTTACCATTATGAAAGCTCACTGTAATTAAACAGCATACAGGTTTGTATTTGATAATTATCTCAGATGAGAGATATCTAATGATAGGAACTTCAAGATAGGCTCTTTTTTAGTGAATGCAGTTTTCGCAAAATACACTCTGCAGTGCTTATCATGGCCTCATGAGGTCAGATAAGTATGCTGTCTTGGAAAGTTGGATATGTTCGATTTTGAAGTTGGGCCTAAACGACGGTTGATCATATTCGAGCATGTTACGTGTGTAGGTGTCCCAGACACCATATTCGAAGCTCATCACTCGTCGCCTTTGGGCCAAAGTTGAAATCTGAGGTAGAACCGCAGAAAACATGGATTCTCAGCTGATTCGGGCTAAAAAGTAATAAAACTTCGATTTTGAAGTCAGGCCCAAAGGTGACGGTTGATCATATTCTAGTATGTTACGTGTCGAGGTGTCCCAAACACCATATTCGAAGCTCATCACCAGTCGCCTCTGGGCCCAGGTTGAAATCTGAGGTAGAACCGCGGATAACACGGATTTTCAACTATTTCGGGCTAAAAAGTTGGAAAAGTTCGATTTTGAAGTTGGGCCCAAAGGCGACGGTTGATCATGTTCTAGTATGTTACGCGTCTAGGTGTCCCGGACACCATATTCCAACCTCATCACCCGTCGCCTTTTGGCCCAGGTCGAAATCTGAGGTAGAACCGCGGAAAACACGGATTTTCAGCTATTTTGGGCTAAAAAAGTGGGAAAAGTTCGATTTTGAAGTTGGGCCTAAAGGTGACGGTTGATCATATTCAAGTATGTTACGTGCCTAGGTGTCCCAGACACCATATTCGAAGCTCATCACCCGTCGCCTTTGGGCCAAAGTCGAAATCTGAGGTAGAACCGAAGAAATTGCATGAGAAAATTGCATGTGGAAAAAACACATCCCCAAACTGTGCGTACAAACGAGAAAAAACACTAAAAATATACCCGAAACCGTATGTAAAAAGGTGAAGAAATGTTGCTGGGTCCACACCATTTCGCCGGGAAATCAAAGTTGACAAATTCAAAAATTACAATTACAGTCATACAATTTTAACTCTTATGTAGTCAGGGGGAATACGTAACAAAACTTATGTCCCGTGTGCAGGTTCGTGAAGGCATATTGTGTGATACATCGATCTCTTCGTTTTGATGTGTAGAAAAAGGAAATCGATGATGGCCATCTCAAATTTCATACAAACCCCCCCCAAATTCAAGATGGCGGCCAAAATGGCGGTTTTGGGGTAAACAAATTTAAAGTTTGCAAATACGTCGTGTCGGGTGTCGATTTTCATGTATTTTTGATCGCAGAATCCGAATTTCCAGTCAAAAGTTTGCCCAAAGGTCATTTTCAGGCCCAAATCCAAGATGGAGTCCAAAAATACCTCTTACGGGTACGAATTTGCCTATTCGAGTCTACATGCATTGTGAGGTATCAATTATCAGGTTTACAGGGTCGTAGAGTCCGAAAATGAGGTCCATTTGCCGCTGCGGCTCTCAAGAAGCCCTAAAATCAAAGATGGCGCCCAAAATGGCCACCGGTCTCGCGGATGAAACTGCCATTTAGGGCAGCTGTAACAAACAATACCTTCAAAATTAAGTTTCTTGGGTCAAGAAGTTCGAATATAAGATCAGATGTTTACTCCTACAAAAAATTAAGCCTCCGAATCAAAAATGGCTGTCGACATTCTTGCGAGTTCGAGGCGCAGACCGGTAAACGACTGATATTAAGGGATTTGCCAAAGGAGGAGTTTCGATAAGGGCCGTTGTTGGGCCCATACCCTAAAATTCTTCAATTCTACGATTGTTTGCTCATTTAAAGTCTAAAGTTTGCGGAATGTATCATGATTTGGTTATTTCCGGTCTGTTTAGGGGTCTAATACTGGCCGAAACATGAGATTAAAGGCCGATTTTGGCGAAAAATGCGGGTTTTTTGACATTCGACGTGACGCTGTTTCATAACGATCCCATCATCGAAGGAGAATATTGTCCTTCAAGTACGTTCATTGAGGACGTAAGATAGTCCCTTTGGCCAATTTTCGTTGATGGTAAACCTTGCGCTCGGAGTTAAAACGATCTTCTTAGAATTTTCTTGTTTTTCATCATTATTTAAAATGGCATAAAAAGGACAACTCATCTTAAACCAGAAATAGATTCCTTGGCGGAAAATGTACGCAGCTGGTCATAACCTTCCTCCAAAACTTTAATGGATTAAAGCCCCCCCCCCCCAAAAAAAAAAGAAAAACCTGTGTTGCCATATTTTATTGCCTAACATCACAGAAAACCGCGTAATTATATCAGTATTTGGAGGCTGTCTTCGTAGAGCACATTCAGCAAAGTTCAAAACCCTTGATTTTTCATCCGTTACGATCACATGATTATTGATTATATAAATGCAATTATCCTTCATTATTTTGTTTATTACATGTATGTATCTATAGAGACTCCCATCGTGGCGCGGCATTCCCACATATCATCGGTAAAAATCGAGAAAAATGCAACATTGAAACGAAAATGAGGATTCTACTTTCATCGCTCAGAGAATGTTAGCCGTATCCAAAACTAAAAATTCATTCCAAGAAAAAGTGTAATATTAGTTAAAAGGCAAAACGGCATAGAACATGGTCACATCCGGGTGGTATTACCTGTGCAAAGTGGGCGATAAAGTCGTCGACTGCCGAGCTCATATTGCATCTCTCATTTGGTGCCTCATTCATTACAGACATAAGTCTGAGCCAGAAAAGCTAAGCGTTTGCTAGATTAACATGCATGCGTCATTTCTCCAAAATTATGAAATGGCAGCTCCAAACAAGAGGTCTGATGCAGGAGACAGGGAACCTTATAAAGAAGCAACTGATGAGGAAGCGGTGAGGTGGCTGGGCAGAAGTGAGGGAAACCAGGGTTTCAAATTATTTTAGGAAGCAGAATTCTGATCGATCGCAGGCAATAAGAAAAGTGGGGGACAGGGATTGTCAGGGTGGTGAAAAATCAGCATTCAGAACTCGTGATTCAGACACATGGCTTACTTTTTTTTCGGATCTCAGATCACGGTCAATGATTCAAAGTTGCACCTTCAAGCGTGAATATCGTGTACAAAATTCGTAAGATAATAGGTCACTTACAAGCCCAAAATTTTAAGGCAATTATTACTAACACAAAATATGATCTACCTGCATCTCTGAATACTGTAATTCGAGTCTTACATATTTGTTTCAAAATGCGCATATTCCGAGAAAGTGGCTGAAATCCTTGGCCAACTCGGATTTTTCTCGATTTTTACCGATAATATGTAGGAATGCCGCGCCACGATGAGAGTCTCTATAGATACATACTGTAATAAACAAAATAATGATAGATAATGGAGATGTTGCATGTGTGAGGAATTTGCGATTTGACTGTTGATTCTTACGTAAAAATTCGCGAGAAACACGATGGTGCCACTGGTTTTCTCTGAAATCAACTCCCAAGCTCAAAAAAAACTCTTAAGTTGAGGCCAAAATGGAGAGGATATCCCACGCTATCCTGAGAGTCCACCTCTATATCAAGACAAACTCTCTATTCAAAGATAGGGAGCAAGTACATTGACAGGTCAGCCACTTTATTTGGGGAGTCCACAACTGAAAACACAGCATCCCTTTTGGCCTTCATCGATTTTCTTTTTCTACACATCAAAACGAAGAGATCGATGTATCACACAATATGCCTTCACGAACCTGCACACGGGACATAAGTTTTGTTACGTATTCCCCCTGACTACATAAGAGTTAAAATTGTATGACTGTAATTGTAATTTTTGAATTTGTCAACTTTGATTTCCCGGCGAAATGGTGTGGACCCAGCAACATTTCTTTACCTTTTTACATACGGTTTCGGGTATATTTTTAGTGTTTTTTCTCGTTTGTACGCACAGTATGGGGATGTGTTTTTTCCCGTTCGGGCGTGGGCGGTTGTGTCTAGATGCGGTCGCATCTCCAAGCTGCCTGATAATAATTTTTTTCAGATTTTCCTCGTTTTCTTATGAGAGTTGTTCAGCAGCGACGGTAGATGGCGCGAGGATCACGCTTTTTTGTCTCGCCTCGGGTCATATTAAGTAAGGTACCTATTTTAATGCCGTCTTTGATTTTGTGGGATGCAAAGTTGGGTTCACTGGAGAGTGTGATCTACTGATTAGGTTTAAATACACTCAAAACGTTATAGATCTCTCGGCGTGACCTCAGCTTACTATTCCAATACAAACTGTCTGAGCTGAACACTCTCCCCCTCAATTTTGTAATGGTACTCATTAGAGTTAAAATTGTAATTTTTGGAATTTTTCGACTTTGATTTCGCCGCAAAATGGTGTGGACCTTTCACCATCTCTCCACTGTGTCTAATATGCAGCTATATATTATTTCAGATTTCTGAAGGAGGAACCAGAACGACTTGAAAGTGCTTTAAGACGTTGTAAGAAACTCACGGGTACTCTTGTTACGCTTAAAAGGTTAGTCTATGTCTTGTTTTTTTTGAACAGTCATTTTCAGATTCCTTAATCAGTACATAGTCTCAGGATAGTGCCAAGACTCAGTATAAACTGGCTTTGTGCTTTCAGGATCATTTTTTCTCCAGCCTTACTTTTGATTTTTTCCCTCACAGTCGGCTGATACGGTAGATAATACTGTGCACCTTAAATCATTTTCGAAAATTTAATGGTTCAGGATTTTTCTGAGGAGGGAGGAATAAGGGGTAGATAAGCTAAGTTGCAAATATCAAGCATTTTGAGAATTTCATCACTTTTAAAAGTTGTCAACGCAAAGTTTGCTCTTACATGTAGGTCATTTTTAATGCAATGTGAGAGTTGGCTTCTGCATACCATGGACTTGCACCGTAAATGAGCAAACCCCAGCAACGATTCCCCTTCGCTTTTCGTAATGTTTTGATCAGCCTACAATAATGATCAGCATTAATGGTATCACCACAGCGTGAAAAATTATCAAAATTACACTTCTTGCTTTGAGAAAGCTTTTGAGAAAACCAGAGCTTTGATTTTCCTGACTAAAGAAACTTGTTGTGGTTGAATCCGGTTGATGCCACTTCATTGATTTTCTATTAGTGGCAGGGGAATACTGTAAAAACGAGAAGAGCTGCAAATCATACCATCACACCCACAACTCTTACAATCGATCTGGTAATCAATTTGGTTCTCCTTTTTTACATTTGATCAAAATAATTACCTCTTAATTTTGTAGCTGGGAGGGAGGGGGGAAGGTCAGAATTAAGTAACGATCCATAAGCCAACCTTTTTTCTTTTTTAGATAGAGAGAGTGCCTTTTGCAAACTAAGTTCATAAAATGTGTGGTCTGTTAGATAAGAAACTGGATTTTGGTGATAACTAGCGCATTGTGAGTCCAAATTAGGTTTCCTTGGACTTTTCTGATAGCTGATAACATACTAAAGAACGCTAGATTCACAGATTTTGTTCATTTTGATCAGTGTTCATTCTGTGTCACTTTGAATACGAGTAAGTCAGATGCGTTCTGCGATTTTCATCATGCAATCACTGATAGAGCAAATATTTATCATTAATTTTTGTTTTGAACTCGGTATACCTTGTATCAAAACTTTTGGTATGCTAAGTGAAGTTTACTACGATCATTGTATGAGTTGTTCTCAGTGTTTTGTGTGGTTTAAACGGTTCAAAACTGGTCAGGAGTCCATCGAAGATTAGGAGCACGGGAATTGACCAGCTACGGCACCTGACATTTGCCCCATGTAAAAAGTGGGGACAAAAGTGCTCAAAGATGGTCGCTTCGAGCTTGAAGGCTCTGCACGTACAATTTTGATAGAATATTTACACATGCATCGAATTTTAGCTGAACTTGTCCCGCAACTGTTGTCCGTTGAACAAAAATCCAGCCGAGTGTAAATTTTCCTTGAGCTTCTTGAACGTTCTAACAATGATCTTACATTGGATATGATGATTTCCGATGACAAAAATTGGGTGTACGGCTACGATATGGAGACAAAACACCAACCAGCCGTATGGGTTGAAAAAGGTAGAGCAAGACCGAAAAAAGAGCGACAAGGTTGGTCAAACGTGCAAATCGCAGAATATTCATGAGCCCATGAACCGCATGAACACACTAACGAATTAGGAACTCCGGGAGAATTCGGCACTCCCGGAAATGGCAGGGGCTCCTAGCCTGACACCCTTACGCCCGGGAGGAGGACCCGGTGTAGACACTCGGAAGGATCGCTCTCTAGCAGCTCTCCGAGCCCAAAAAAGCACTATGACAGAAAAACTGAATTGCAGGAAGCCATGGAAATAGTTAAAAGGGGAGTTGAAATTGTAGAACGACTCCGCGAGTCCTTTTCCAGATTAAGAACAAAGGGAGGACCTACGCCTGGAAGGATTTCATGGAGGGGGACAACCCTCTCCTCGATGAGATCATTGAAAATCAACAAAAGCTCGTCTCCATGGTTGTCGGGAAGACGGTCAGAAACAGGGGCTATCCCGATTGCTTCCAAAACAGGGACAGTGGAACCCAAACTAGCCCGCCTCCCGTACCCGTCGTAACCCTAGAGGACGACCTGGATGGGAACGAAGATCTAGCACGTCAGCTAAGCCCATGGGGAGGGCCAGAGGTCCCGCAGCCAGCTCAACATACAGCAGCAGCATCGACCAACTCCACGACTGAAGGCCCTCAACAGGTCCCACCGCCGCCGCCACCTCAATCCCCGCTCAACCCTCCTCCTCAACCGAGCGCCCAACAAGGGACTAATAGACAAGAGAATCACGTGGTCAAATTAGTTCGAGATGCCGGAGGAACGGAGTTCCTCAAGCAGCAATTTGCCCGCATGATACGCGAAGAGGTAACCCGGGCGGTAGACTCACGCCTGGGCCCGCAAACGCAGGAGAGGCCACCTCCCATGCCGCAAAGGCAGAAATCGGCAAGGGCGAACGTCGAGCCCCGAAGCGAAATAAACCAGCCTCAATCAGCGAACCCCCCAACTCCCACAAGGGGAGAGCCATCACGGCAAAACGGAGGCGGCGGTGGGTACTCGGAAACCCCAAGGCAGGAGGCACCTGGCAGGAGGTAGTCAAGAGGAACTACCAGGGCGTCAGGGGCGTCAGGGGTCCGAGGGCGGACACCCTACCGCCCGGGAGCACACAATCAACATCATCGTCTCCATCAACAAATAGATTTACACCGCTGGGCGGAGGTAGCAGTACCAACAACCGACGGGACCCCTTCCCGATGCTGCCCCCACCTCGACAGCCAGCCCCAACCACCCCAGGAGGCAAAAGGAAAAAGAAGGACGGCCAGAAAGGCCAAACGCCCAGGACGCCTGATCCACAGAGACCGTCGGCAAACTCGGTCCCGAAACAGAGGACGGCTATCAAGGACGAAGATACCTTCCCCGGGGCCGACATAGTTGTGCAACCAAAATTCACCAACGCGACGGTCTCTTGTAACGATGTGTGGACCGAGTTGACCAAGTCTGTCAATCCCCGCGAGGTGGGGGTCCAGCCAATCAGATGGGCTAGAGCCTGCGACGCACAAGTGCGGGTAACCTGCGCCACGCAAGGCGAGGCGGAAGCCTTAGCGGCGGCAGTTGACAGGAACAGCGCCGTACTTACGGCGAGCGTGCAGAGGAAAAGCAACCCCAGAATAGCCTTTCACGGCGTTCCGGTTGGCCTCCCGAACGAAGACCTGACCAAAAGCATTCGGGAGCGAACCGGGGTAGATTTCGGCTACGAATATAAGTATAGGCATGGACCAAAAGAATAAATAAGGACCCCCAACTCCAGTTAGGGCCGACATCAGCGCTGCCTGGCAGAGGGTGTAGTGAACTAAACCGACGATTGGGTTTTCCTGTTTATATTTCCATGCACCACCTTTTTAGGCTTATCAATCAGTGCTCATAGAAGTTTCTAGATCCTCGTATCCTCGTGGTCGCCCTGCAGTTTTAAAGAGTTTAGTGTGAAAAGTTTCTCATTTTTATTTCAATCTTCGTCAGTCTTCGGGTACATGAACTGGTAATAATGTGAAGTGTTTTTTCTAACCGTTTTACTCAGCAGCAACTGCTGTTGACAAAGCCAAACGAAGTGTGTGTGAGGGTGTGTGTGTGTGTGTGTGAGGGTGTGTGTGTGTGTGTGTAGTGTGCAGCAGGAATCAGGATTGTACTTTTAGCCGAAGGCGCAAGTGAAATCTTTTGATTGAGAAATAGTGTTGTACTGATAAAAATCAACTGAGTGTCACAAAATCAAAGATACTTGACTTCAAGCATTACCTTTAATTTGATTATCAGCAAGTCTCTTTGATTCTGCGTCAGAAGTTGACTGAATCATCTTTGCTCGTGTTTTGATAAGATACTTCAAATCAAAGTCTTTCGCATTGACCTCTGCAGAAGGTATGTATCTATACTATTTCATTAGTTTGCGAAAGTAAAGTGTATTAAAGTATCGAAACAAATAAATAAATCATAGATAAACAAAGAACATTGCATGGAATAACATACTATAGAGGTACGATCGTGGACCATTGTGGCGTTAGTTCACCGCACCCTCTGCCAGGTTCGCTGCAAGCGCGCGGTAACGGTTTTTAACACAGGTTCCAATAGGGAGTTGGGAGTCCTTATTTATTCTCTTGGTTCATGGTATAGGTACCTTCGGGTGCAGATCCGCGACAACCAACGACCGGGTCTATGAATGCTCTCCGGAGGTACGCTAAGTAATCGCACTGCTACTTCCTCGGTGGTCGGTCGGCTGGGCTTTTGTCACGGTCCGGGAACACTTACGATTGATGCAATGCCATCGTTGCCAGTTATCGGACCACTTCCAATCGGTGTGTACCGCCAGAGAGCCCACCTGCAAGTGGTGCGCCGGGAGCCACAGTTCAAATCAGTGCCCCGTGAAGAACAACAAGAACCTTTGGGTTTGCGCTGGGTGCAGAAAGCACCGCATGCCCGGACCGCGCCATGCCAGTGGGGACATAAACCTGTGTGCCTATTATAAGCTCAGGCGCAATGACCTCGAGCGCAGCATAAACTATGGCCAAAGATCCCAAGTGCCACAACCTAAGTCAGGGAGCGGAATGGCCACGACCGGGCCACGGTCTCCGCAGCCCACCAGGCAACTAAACTGGGGCTCCGCGCCACCATACGCCTCAGCATCGTCTTCAAACACATCCTCTTCTGCACACAGGTCCCCACCGACACCCGACCGACCCCCCCAGCCCAACACATCGGATAACAACAACGGCAGCGGCTTTCCCGTCGACGGTGGGAATCCAACTCAAACTCAGAACAGCGTCGAATCCCCGATGGAGACAGATTCCACCTCGCAAGGTGGGGGGGGGGGGCTGCCAGTAGTCACCTATGGCAGCCCGACCCACTCCTGGCACTGGCCTGCGTCTCAAGATCGGGCAAATCAATCTCGATCATCGGAAGAATCCGAACTGTGAGATGCAGGTCGATTGTGAGAAACTAGGACTCCAAGTG